AACCCGCTATGGGCCCATGACCCGCAGTGGGCTCGCTGCCCCATGCATGTTACCCTATATTTCTTTTTTGGTATTCAGATTAGCAAGTCTACATATGGTTTTATTCATAAATATTGTTAATTCTATTGCAATTACATAGATAGTTCGTAGTGGTTGCAACCACATTGATGGTTAACTGTTCTGAATCAACCTTATGGCTGGTAGCCATTATGGTGTGGTATATATACTCTATATAGAGTTTATATATATTTTTTTGAATACGATACATTTGTCATTTAAATAAAATTACCATACAATTGCAAATTAATTAAATGCACTTCTGTCGTTTAGACATTTTCCAATTTTCAGCATAAGGGTTTCGGTTATTTTGAATTTGAAATAACAATGCTATGTGGCTGACCGTAATATAACTTTGACTATTATGCTCAGAAATTCTTTGTAATGAACAATCAGAGTGAAAACGCTAACCAACAATCTTCACTAAATCGGAGAGAATATAGTGCGCATTTAGATTGAATTCCGATGAAGATTTAAAATGAAATTTGAAATTTCGTTAATTCTAAATTCTACTGCATGCATGAGCTTCCATCACTTGAATAAATTTCAAGGTTGAATGGAATAAATTCATTTTGTGAATTCATGCAAATTACACTTATTGACTCATTATTACAGCAAGTATCCTATTTATTCTATTGATTGCAAAAATATACCTTTATTTGTATCTAAAATTTGTATGTTTAAAATCACCTGTAATTAACAACTCACCGCTTTCAACATTTGAAGATTTAAGCTTACCGAAATGACACTTATTGAATCACTAATACATCAATTATCCTATTTATTCTATGGATTGCAAAAGATACCTATATATGTATATAAAATCGTTATGTTTAAAATCACCTATAGCTGCATTTAACAACTCACCGCTTTCAACATTTGAAGATTTAAGCTTACCGGGAACGAACCATACACAGCATTGACCAAATTCTTCCCTTTCATATGATTTCCACGCTGGTGACAAATTCTACGTTATCTTCACGTTGAATCTCGACGACCAGACAGCATTGACGTTGTACAGGTGTGAGCAGCTTTAACGGCAGAATGACTGACGCACGTTCATTTATGATTAAGTTAATGTAAGTTTTATTTTTCCCTATTAAAATTCTCTTTATTCCTGGAAAATGAAGTTGAAGCAATGTTGATCATGTATACGTGTTGATTATGTTCGTTAAAACAACGTATAAGTTATTATAAGTTTTATTTTTCCTTATTAAATTTCTCATTATTCCAGGAAAATGAAGTTGAAGCAATGTTGATCATGTATACGTGTTGATTCCGTTCGTTGAAACAATGTATAATCTATTTTATTTCAACGTTATATATGTTTGGTGGGGTATTATTTTATAAGATTATAAAAATAAAATATTCATTATTAACAAATCATATTCATTGCACAAGAGTGGAATTCACTTGGAAAAGCTTCAATCAAAGATATTTTATATGCACTGAAATAAATTTCAATTTTGAGAGAATTTTCAATTTATTAAATGAGTCACAAATCCGAGCAAAAAATTGGTAAACGCGAGAACTTTTCAGCTGCGCTATTTTTTCCTCTTATTAATTAAAAAAGACTCAATTTGAATAAACCCAATTGTTATAAATCAAATTAATACAAATATAATTAGGCGAAAAGTGTTTAAAAGAAACCCTGCTGATAAAAATTAAATAAAGATTAAAGAATGAAGATCAAAAGAAGCAAAAATGGATGAAACTGTGAACTCGATCAAAAGAATTCTGCACTTCCTGTTGGTGTACGATACCGGTATCACAACTTGAAGAAAGTTATATTTTGATCTACATGCCCCAATAATTTTGATCGAAGTAAAATTTGCTACTGTTTTTACACGCACCATGTAATTTTGATCACTATAAACAGTGATATATTGACCCGTACCCATTGTGCTATTGTAACATATAATGGGCACCATTTCATATCGCACATGCCTATCGTGTTATTTATGTTATATCGACTATACCTACCGTGTTATTGTAATATATACTCAGAATATTATAATAACTTTATCTTATCTAAGTGTTATTTATGTTATATCGACTATACCTATCGTGTTATTGTAATATATACTCACAATTTTATAATAACTTTATCTTATCTATGTGTTATTTATGTTATATCGACTATACCTACCGTGTTACTGTAAAATTTACTCACAATGTTATATTAACTACACGTTATTTTAATGTATACATGTATATGCACCATATTATATCGAATATACTGCCGTATTATTCCTATTTATATACCCTATACAGTCGTTTATCTGAAACACTTCCACTTCATAGGCATCATATGTGACATTTATGAGCTTAATCTTAGTCTAATTAATGGCAGACGACTGAGAAGTAATGTGACCTGCATGCCTGACTAAAATAAAAATAATGCTGCTTTGTTAGAGCATCAGCTAACGATAATTAAATAATAGTTTCATTCTAAATGTTCCAAATGCCAAACTTGTATGTATGCTAAATTGATAATCAAGTTTTGATAACTTAAATAAAAGTTCTTTTTGAAGTCGTATAAAATCATTTGTTGTTGGGCATTTTGATTCATTCGAAGGGAAAACTAGAGCTCTCATTTGTAGCAAGGCTATTGTATAGTCAACGTATTTCTCAAGGCCTTTAAAGTAACTTATCTTTAATTTCGCTGTATAGCCAATATTTGAAGAAAATTTAAACATACTAATTCTATAAATACTTGACTGAAAAAAAATAACATTCATATTTGTAGGATAAAGTGAACTGTCAAAAGCGTTCGGAAAAAAAATGTCGGTGATGTCGTAGAAAATCATCTAAACTTGAATGTGTTAATTTAGCATTACTTTACAAATTCAAATTATGTCTGTTGCGTGAATGAACGTTATTAAGGTATCAACCTTAATTGCAGGACATAAGTTACGAAGTTTATCTTTTATATTCAATACTGACACTTGCTATAAAGTATTGATACTAGAATTGCATGTAACGTACATTTTATTATGAATAAAATTTTTTTACAAATGAGTTTTAAGTTGAAGTTTAAGGCATGGGTTTCTCGAGTTGCGAGCTGATGCTGAACTTAAATTAATAATTTTAGCTATAGCGCAAGCCACAATTATTCTGCAACGAGTGTCATGTTCCCCTTAATTGCTGGTACAAAATTATATTCAAGCTTATTTGAAAATTGATAAGAGTTTAATACTGCAATGACTTCAAATTTGTAAGATTTAGAGTCAATGTTTGATCGATACGATTTATGGTAGAGGCAATATAGGCACAAGCAATATCTAGCTATATTTTCTGAATTGATGCTTAACACAAGTAAGAAAATAAGGCAGAGGTCAGCTTGCTGATTTTAAAATCAAAATAATTAATGAATTGCGGAATATTTAAAACTATGTATTTTGATTGGACTTGCATCCATGACGAAGCTGAATATAATTTCCCCACTAAATTAGTTTTGCACATAAATTGGGCTAAAAAGTTAATTGAAATTAAAATTATGCGATTGAAATAGATTCTATAATTAAAAACAAGGACGTACAAACTGAAAGAATCGAACTCGATTCATTTTCTGTTGAAGCAAATATATATTAATCTTCGAATCATTTTTTTTACTTTAAAAATCCATCCGATTCTTATTAAAGCAAATTAATATATTTATATATATAATAAATTAACAATAAGCTATTATTGTTAATTATTGATTTTTCGTGACAGGAACGATTCAAATCAGATTAAAGTTATAAATCAAAATCCTTATCAGATTGCCTTCAGCTGCTATCATGCATTACCTGGTGCTAATCAATATTCAAGCATATAATTTCGGCTGCGAATGTTAAGTCAGTTAAAAGAATCCAGTATTCAAAATCATCCAACGAAAAGTGAGGACTGCAACGCAAAATTACGCAATGTTTTCAATTCTCTTTGCGTAATTCAATTCTCATTTGAAATTAACCTAAAAAACTTAATGCAATCATCGAACGTAAATGAATCTGTAGAATCTTCTACGGTAAATGATTTATTTGAACATCAACCGTGAATAACTCAATTTAATCATCGACCGTCAACGACTCAGCCAAATCATGTACCGTAAACAGCTCAATCAAATCATGTACCGTAAACAGATCAGTCAAACCATTTACCGTAAACGGCTCAGTCAAACCATTTGCCGTAAACAGCTCAGTCAAATCATTTACCGTAAACAGCTCAATCAACTCATGTACCGTAAACGGCTCAGTCAAACCATTTACCGTAAACGGCTCACTCAAACCATTTACCGGAAAAGGCTCAATCAAATCATGTACCGTAAACAGCTCAGTCAGTTCTTGTACCGTAAACGACTCTGTTGAACATCCGCGTCCGAAAAGTGTCGCGTTTGCGGACCGCCAGACCGGAGCGGCGCTACGAGCCCCGTTAATCTTTGCATTCCGGAAGAGCCGAGGTTTTGAAGTTCATCCCGCGCCGCTGTTCTGGCTACGTCCTGACGATCCCAATATTGTTCAGAGCCATCGCTACAGGCGATTTTTTAGGGCTTATTGTTAGGTTTAGTGCAGACACTAGGTGGCGTTACTGGCGTCCTCAGGGAGGAGGAGGAATGTGTAAACTAAGGCGGGACTTTACTGGCCATGGGTGGACTTGTCCGCTCGGAGGATGGACACCCTCAGCCTTTAAGGTGAGAGACCAAACGTCACCATCACACACGTGCAACCCAATTGCCAGACCTGCTATTATATCGATATTATTTCGTACATTGCAAAATATATTGCTAAGATAAATATACTTGTAGTTAAATCTATTGTCTATAACCTAGTAAATTTTTCATGTTTGCTCTAGTAAAAATCAGTTAATTAAATAAGGCTAAGGCAGCGGAGGTCGGAGGTGCAGAGGCGGAGTTCTCTATCTCCACGACCACGACACACGCACGAGGGCCAGTTGCTCCGAAGTCGTGGTAGCGATGTGTTGTGTGTCGTTAGCTCTTCATTTTTATTTCATTTCGTGATAAGTGAACTTTTACAATCCTGAAAAGTGATACATAATAACTTGATCCATCCATTACTAGTGAGATTCTCTAGTGCTAGATATTTAGTGCTGTAAGTCCTGAATATATTCAACCATCTGCGCACATCGATTGACCATAAGGTAAACTTTAAATTTATTTGTTTATATTAAAATTATTAATCATATAAGTCTCATTCTACTATATATTTTATATCAATAACCATTAACCTACAACTAATTAATTACGTGTTTATTCCCATAATTGAACTAATGATGTTATATTGTCGTCCACTTAAATTACTATACCGTTCTATTATAGTGCGGCATGCCTGGAATATTTTAATCAGAATTTAATTTAAACCATAATGCACATGCACACCGCTTGAAAATTCATTAGTCCGAATTTGAGTATATAATTAAATGACATTCTTTGAAAATAATTTTGAGTTATTTCTATGCTTGTCTCGCAAAATATTCAAAATGTCTATAAACATGAAATAAATTCTATGAGATATATAGTTCCTGTTCAATCAATATTGTGCGTAGATTTCAACCAAGATTGCTCAATTTGATAGCTTTAAAATCCAATATGTGGTAGTATATTTCCTATTCTACACGCAGTTAAAGTGATCATATTCGGAAGAGATCATATGCGTAAAAATCATTTTGATTAATTATTTATCTATTTGTAAAAAAATCATAAGCCTTGTCCAATTAAGCAGAGTTTGCCACAATTTGTAGGTGGTCCCTATTTGGCACCTGCACCCATTTACAGCACTGCAACAGTTCAGTCAATTATGGCAAAAAAAATAAAAACTTTCAATATGTGAGCGTTTGAAATATAAGGCTTGTTTAACTACGTGGAACCTTTTCTTGACGAGTAATTCGTCTTCATTTATCATAAATTTTATTCATGCTCTCCTCAATAATTCATGTGTATTTATTTTTCATACGATTACATTCATGTCTTCCTCTATAATTCATGTGTATTCATTTACCATACGATATCATTCATGACATCTAACGCGAAAATTAAGAAGGTTAATTATTTGGTATTCGCTCTCGTAACTCTATGCGACTTTAATTTTTTTTATGATTTAACGTAAATTGATTACAATCATTATAATTTTCTGCCTTTTAATCCTCTTATAATTTCCATCAATAAAATGGCCAAATATATGAGATACCCAACACGAGATATTATATATAATTCGCCAATAAAGATTCTTGAAGTTTAGAAGTGTCATAAATCAAATTTTCGTACAAACTTAGTAACATATCACAAAAAAAAACTTCCTAAATTCCAGTATACCTGCATTAGTTGTCTTGCCAAAATACGTGCTCAAAAAAACAGGGATTACACACCCATATACACGTTGTGTGGCGTAATCTCCACACACATATATTTGTATACATTTTCGTATATTTATGATAGAGATCACTTCACCTGAACAAGTTTTGCGATATGTAACAGTACAATTAATGGAGTTCCCAAATCCTTACACGCATTTAACCTTATTTTGCTATATGGAAGTATGCAGATATAGGAATCTTATACTTATTATGATGATCGCGTGCATGGCCTTTATAAAGCACGAAATTGTTATCTTTATAATTAATTGCATTTTTTCTCATTACAAATCGTTCAGAGAGACAGTTACATGAACTATAGTCGAGTTATAGTATAGTAGTAGTCGAGTTATAGTAGTTATATAGTATAGTAATATATAGTCGAGAGACTATAGAGAGATATGTATGAACTATAATTTTAATCTCGATATTGACTATATAAAACTCGATGTAATGGCAGTGACACGAAACCCGATATTTGTTTGATATCGAATAAAGAACAATAGATTTCAATAGATAACTAATTGATGTATGATTATTTAATAGATTAATAATAATGTGACAATTACTACTATCGAGGGAAATTTTACGTATTTTTCTGCAGTGCTTGTCTCCATCATATATTATATATTTCCTTTCAATCCTTCATACTCACGAAACAACGCTCGGATATTGTTTTAGTCTCCCGTATACGAAGCCTTCACCTATATTTAGGCCAAGAAATTGCCGTTTTTACAGAAAAAAAAAACTTTTTTCTTATATTGGCAGTGTTATTCATAGTTCATCAAACTCATTTCAGCCAAACTTTCAGCCAAACTTTCAGCCAAACTTTCAGACAAACTCTCAGCCAAGCTTTCAGACAAGCGTTTAGTCAAACTTTCATCCGATAATTAACCATAGATTTTAGATAGAATTTAAGTCAAATTTTCAGTCGAAATTTCAGCAAAGTGAGTCAACCACAAATGCATTAAAACCCTGCGCATGATTTGTGTCGACACTCACATTGATTTAGAAGCTCATGACCATCATTCAGATAAATGAGTTTGAGTTTGTCCAAAATTCTATATATAGTCCAGTCTGACCCATTTTGGCCCGGCGTATGGGCGTCAATCTTTAGGCAATATAACACAGTCATTTTTCTGGATGCGCATTCGCTCAGCTATGTAGGTTGTTAAAGTGTCCTCAAGCCTATATAATTATGCATATGTTGTAATCTTATATCTCAGGTTTTAACGACCAACGATAAACAAAAAGTTGATGAACCATTAAATTACGAGATAAGGGCTGTGGTGGTTCATTACTCGAAATAAAAAAAATTGTTCATATATAGACCGATACAATTGTAGCGCTATAGACCGCTATAAAATGTTAGCTGGTTTATCACTTAACCAAATTATGTTTATTATTTTAATATAAAAAGAGGAAATCTTTACCACGTTTAATAATTATATTATTTATGAGTGTCTTTTTATGGATTTACGTCGCTGTTCGAGAAATTGTTCCAATATTTTGGTGATAAATTAATGAGAGAATTTAATTTTGAAAATGCCAATTTCAGATAAATTTTCTTGCTTTTCAGCAGAAGTTTCACCAAAATCTTTTCAAGATACTTCAATATTTCATTGTTTCTGCATTATTTTGTTAGGGTACTTAATAACTTTATTAGTACACATAAATACTTTGTAAAGATATTTTAACATTTCGTTAAGACCTTTTGAACATTTTTTAACATGCTTGAATATTTTTTTCGATACTTCAACACGTTATCAAGATCCTCACTAAAACACTTAAATTATAGACCTCCTATATCATTAATAAGAAAGTTTGGAGTTGAACGAAACACTTATTGTTCGTAACTATACCATTTACCTGGACACTAACCATTTCCATTCTATAATCATTCATCACACGCCAAATGCACGATTAATGGTGAATGAAAGTTTTCATCACTTCCTACATTCATGCACGATTAATGGTGAATGAAAGTTTCCTACATTCATGCAAGTTTTAATAATTAAGCGACTCCCAACACTCGCAGTGTCAAGAGGTTTCTTCTGTCAATTAATTACTAATAATAGAATAATCAACTTATTAATCTATTTCAACAGCAGCCGTTTTAGAAAATATTAATTATATCAATATAATGTGTTAATATATCTTCAAAATTTTCAGACTTTGGTTTATTGTGCTGCACCATCTCACGGAACAAACTATTGCGGTCTTCACTTACAGTTTATTTTAGCCCACTTCTGATCAAACACTTTCTGATGATAACTCAACGAAAATTTGACCTTGCATTCTCTACCGTAAATCAAAGATATATAACATCAGTTAATTAGCAGCTGCGCACCTGCGTTAAAATGAATGTAAGAGAAGAAACTGATCACAAGAATCTCACTTTTCATCAAAAACTTACCGCGGACCCAGCCAGTGGTAAAATGTTCATAACTCCGCGGGTTTTGGTGCCATAATTTCAGCCATTCTTTCATCAAAAAGTATATCGCGTATATCAAAAGTATAAAAGTATATCAAAAAGTATCAGCTCATGGCAAAACTTCCACAACTCCGCGGGTTTTGGTGCCATTATTTCAGCCATTCTTTCATCAAAAAGTATATCGCGTATATCAAAAGTATATCAAAAGTATAAAAGTATATCAAAAAGTATCGCGGACCCAGCCAGAGGCAAAACATTCAAAACTCCGCGGGTTTTGGTGCCATAATTTCAGCCATTCTTTCATTAAAAAGTATATCGCGTATATCAAAAGTATGTCATAAGTATAAAAGTATATCAAAAAGTATCGCGGATCCAGCTCATGGCAAAACGTTCACAACTCCGCGGGTTTTGGTGCCATTATTTCAGCCATTATTTCATCAAAAAGTATATCGCGTATATCAAAAGTATATCAAAAGTATAATAGTATATCAAAAAGTATCGCGGATCCAGCTCATGGCAAAACGTTCACAACTCCGCGGGTTTTGGTGCCATAATTTCAGCCATTCTTTCATCAAAAAGTATATCGCGTATATCAAAAGTATAAAAGTATATCAAAAAGTATCGCGGATCCAGCTCATGGCAAAATGTTCACAACTCCGCGGGTTTCGGCGCCATTATTTCAGCCATTATTTCCACCCAATTAGCGATACGTTGCCGGATATTCATGTTCCGGGACCAGCGTCCGCTACTGTTCATTAGTCGACAATTAATATTCATTAATTGATTCGGCATGGTGAGACGGGTTGTTCAATAGCTGCGTTAGTTCGCTTATCTGCATTACAAGCTGAAGTGATGTCTCTGAGCCGTGCAGGTGTTACAATTGTAGAAAAAAAAAACTTTTGTAATCTTCTCCTATTGTAGCTGAATGAATGTATTAAAAGCTAATTTGATATCAAATGTATTGAGAAAGTAGTACTAGATGTAATAAATTTAGGAATTCGATTTAAGATTATCTCGCAGTAACTTTTAGCAATGAGTGAAAAGAGCAATAAATGAAATGAAATTGAGCACAGAATTTTAGTTCATGTTCAAACCATAATAATATTCGCATAAATTATTCGTATGGAAATTAATTAGAATGTTCGTGATTAGCGCTAGAACAGGAGTTTTTTCAACGTATCTTTTGGCTGTTGTATATACCCATACAAATGTTGTCTTGAATCGTACATTAATTGTAATCAAGGGAAGGCATACATATAATAATAAGGTATATAATTAATAATAAGGTATATAATTAATAATAAGGTATAATAATAATATTAATAATAAGGTATGATAATACTTTATTACTAGGAATAATATACGGCATACCTATAACATCAACTATAATTGACCTAATTTTCAACACTCATCCTAATTTACAATAATTAATTTACATGATAATATCTCACTCGGTTTATATCATTGACAATACATAAAGTTCATCTTAAACAAACCTTGTGTCACTAAAACACTTCACTCCAGCCTGTACACACAGCCTGTGTGCCTGAGACACACAAAACACACAGAAGTGTTGGCAGCACACAAAAGACCTGCCCAGCGGGAGGCTCGTATCACAGACAAAGGCTTCAGAACCAACACTTGCCACTTAGAACCTCTCATTATTAGCCCTTAAACCCTTTAATGAACCCCCCTTAATGAGCCCTTAAACCCCTTAATGAACCCCCTTAATGAGCCCTTAAACTCCTTAATGAACCCCTCTTAAACCCCTTAATGAGCCCTTAAACCCCTTAATGAACCCCCCTTAATGAGCCCTTAAACCCCTTAATAAGCCCACAACCCCTTGATTACAAAATTATTCCACCCACGCAGGGTATAGCAGCTGTATAGTTATAACCTTCGATATAACTATACATAGATACATACATACATAACATACATTTATAGTTATAGATAACGTCGATATATCAATAAATATTCCTTTTGATGTCGCCTGGGCCTCCGTGATTAAAACTCCCGTGGACTTTTAATTAAAGTAATTAAACTTCAATTCATTATCATTATATAGTTCCTCTAAAATAATTGTTAGGATATTTATATCGTGAAGTATTGAATATTTTTAACATGATACGCCGCATGCTATTCTTCTTATCATGCGCCACACGGTGTGCCATATATCATGCCACATCATGCGCCACATCGTGCACCACATCATGCGCCACATCATGCCACATCATGCGCCACATCGTGCGCCACATCATGCGCCACATCATGCCACATCATGCGCCACATCATGCGCCACATCATGCGCCACATCATGCCACATCATGCGCCACATTGTGCGCCGCATCATGCGCCACATCATGCCCCACATCGTGCGCCACATCATGCGCCACATCATGCGCCACATCATGCGCCACATCATGCGCCACATCATGCGCCACATCATGCGCCACATCATGCGCCATGGCATAGCGATGTGCAGGGAGTGCGCCGCCTATGTTATATTAATTGATTTACGCAATTAAAATTACAACCGAAATATTCAAATATTAACCGCGTCAATGAATGAAATTAGTAATGAATTAATTTTTTTCAATAAGATTTCGAATACATATATTTTAAATCGGATTTCATTCACTTTGATTGTATTATATAGAAAATGTTACGTGTTTTCCCATTGAAAATAATTGGATTTTGAACGTAACGTAAAACAATAGAAAAACGTTTCGCATATGTTTTGTGCGGTGACCATATATAATAATGAATAATTATGTCACTTATTGTCGAGTTTCGTTATGGCGTATTTTGACGGCTATTTATATAAAATAATCATGATTATAATAATAATCATAAAATAAATAATCATGCAACAGGCCGCAGCTAGCTGGCTTAGGATTCTCTCCTTAGAATTGCTAGAAGAACCTTCCTACATTTAATTGCCATTAATTAGGTTAAAATTGCGATAATTTGCCTTTTAGTGTGTTCAATTAATCTGTTATAAGCATAAAGCAATTAATTATTTATTATTCATAACTATGTTTCACTCCCGACACAAAAATTCCTCGGGTGGGTATAGTGAAAATTTTTAGATTCAAAATAGCTGCGTGGGCAATAACGTGAATTTATCGTAAATTTTACGATCAACGTAAATTCTGTAATTCTCACGATCAACGTAAATTCTGTTGATTCTATTTCCACGATCAACGTAATTTCTGTAAATTTCAAGATCAACGTAATTTCTGTTCTGTTGATTGGATGTTGGACTTGACACGCTGTGTTTTCTGAGTGACAATAATTTCGTCATCGTTGATCCAGTATCCAATCAAAGATCAAGCATTATATATTCCTAGTCATCCAATCAATTAATGATTGCCCATCATAAATCCAATATCCACTCCATAATGTTTCTTCAGAGATTCAACTTCCAATCTCCGACGTTGTGACATTTTCCAACGAACCTCCACTTATCTTAAAATTTTCATCACATTCTATCCATTGAACAAAGTTGAATATAGCAGTTGTTGAATAAATCTTGACGCCTTAACAGTTGTTGAATAAATATTGACGCCTTAACAGTTGTTGAATAAATGTTGACGCCTCAAGAGTTGTTGATTAAATGTTGATACCTTAACAGTTGTTTATAAATATTGATGCCAATTAACAATTGTTCAATAAATGTTGTTACTTTGACGTTTATTGAAGAAATGTTTACACCTTAACAGTTGTTCAATAAATGTTGACGCCTCAACAGTTGTTGAATAAATGTTGACGCCTCAACAGTTGTTGACTAAATGTTGATGCCAATTAACAATTGTTCAATAAATGTTGATACTTTGACGTTGTTGAATAAATGTTGATACCTTAATTAACAGTTGTTGAACAAATGTTGACTCCTCAGCAGTTGTTGAATTAATGTTGACTCATTTAATCCCCCGCAACAGGAAGGCAAGATGATGGACGTGTCAGGTTCCCTCGAGGGGGCGCAGGCTGGGGGGCAGTACCCCCACTCGTACCCCACAGTTCCCCCACACTCCCTGGACCTGTACTCCAACCAGCACTGCGCGTACCCCAACACAGGTGAGGGTAGCCTCCACGTACCCCAACACAGGTCTCTTATACACATCTAGATGTGTATAAGAGACAGAGCAACAACAGCAACAGCAACAACAGCAACAGCAACAACAACAGCAACAACAACAGCCACAACAGCAACAACGACAACAACAGCAACAACAGCAACTGCAACAACAACAGCAACAACAGCAACAACAACAGCAACAACAGCAAAAACAACAGCAACAACTACAACAGCAACAACAGCAACAGCAACAACAAAAACAACAACAGCAACTGCAACAACAACAGCAACAACAGCAACAACAACAACAGCAACAACAGCAACAACAACAGCAACAACAGCAACAACAACAACAGCAACAACAGCAAAACAACAACAGCAGCAACAACAACAACAGCAATGACAACAACAGCCACAACAGCAACAACAGCAACACCAGCAACAACAACAACAGCAACAACAGCAACAGCAATAACAACAACAACAGCAGCAACAGCAACAGCAGCAACAGCAACAACAGCAACAGCAACAACAGCAACAACAGCAACAACAACAGCAACAACAACAACAACAGCAACAACAACAACTACAGCAATGACAACAACAGCCACAGCAGCAACAACAGCAACACCAGCAACAACAACAACAGCAACAACAGCAACAACAACAACAACAACAGCAGCAACAGCAACAGCAGCAACAGCAACAACAGCAACAGCAACAACAGCAAAACAGCAACAACAACAGCAACAACAGCAACAACATCAACAACAACAACAGCAACAACAGCAACAACAGCAACAACAGCAACAACAGCAACAACAACTCAAAGTACAGCAAAGTACAGCAAAGTACAGCAAAGTACAGCAAAGTACAGCAGAGTACAGCAAAGTACAGCAAAGTACAGCAAAGTACAGCAAAGAACAGCAAAGTACAGCAAAGTACAGCAAAGTGCTGCGAAGTACAGCAGAGTACAGCAAAGTACAGCACAGTACAGCAAAGTACATCAGAGTACATAAAAGTACAGCAAAGTATATCGACTCTTTGGCGGAACTCTTCTGGAAATTTTGTGCGTGATCATCGGTTTGTTTTGCATACAGAGCATGCATTAAATGCTGTTCATCTCATTAACAAAACCATGGGTTTGGCTTTAAAACCCCGAAAATTATTCTATTGTTTTAACAACATATAAATCAACTCGTCATACGCAAACATACGCTCTATATTCTAGAAACTTATTTAAATATATACGAAAAAACATGCGTTCAAAGTATTAGTAAAACGCATTTTCAACACGCACTGCAAAATTCGTTAGCTAGTGTTTCAGCGCATCACTAATAGCGTACAGTAAATCTATTGAGCACATACCCTGTACAATGGGTACAATAGAGGGTACAATGTCCCCTCCTGTAATCCATTGTACATCCACTACAAAGGGTTACGCCGCTTAATGTACATGTGCTCCCACGGGCGCGATCCTGGCACGATAGGCGATCTTGCGATAAGGGGTACTGGGTGTGGGGGTACTGGGTGTTGAAGTACTAGGGTACGATGTGGACTGGGTGTTGGGTACTTGGGTACTATGGGGTCATGCATGGGTGTTGGTACTTGGGTACTATGGGGTACTGGGTGTTGAGTACTTGGGTACGATGTGGTACTGGGTGAGAGGTACTTGGTGTTGGGTACTTAACGAAGAAATGTTCTGGAGCACTGGGCGCGAGGTACGATGTGGTGCTGGGTGTTGGGTACTTGGGTACTATGGGGTCCTGCATGGGTGTTGGTACTTGGGTACTATGGGGTCCTGCATGCATGGGTGTTGGTACTTGGGTACTATGGGGTACTGGGTGTTGGGTACTTGGGTACGATATGGCGTATTGGGTGAGAGGTACTTGCTGTTGGGTACTTAATGTCTACACATGAAAAATCACGACCAATACAAATTTAATAATGAATGTAGGAAGGAATATAATATGAATATAAGTAACTTTAAAACTTGGTTATTTAGGTCATTATTGGGTTATTATTAGGTTATTATTAGGTTATTGTTAGATTATTGTTAGATTATTATTAGGTTATTATTAGGTTATTATTGGGGTATTATCAGGTTATTATAAAGGTGATTATTAGATTATTAATGTGTTATTATTAGCTTATTATTAGATTATCATTAGGTTATAATTAGGTTATAATTAGAATATTATTAGGTTATTAATAGGTTATTATTAGTTTATTATTAAGGTGAATTTTTCATAAATACAGAGTACAAGCAGAGTGTTGCAATAAACATGTCTATCTGCCATATACTCAGAGAAGTGAATGAATCTTAATCCAGATATCGTAGCACCTTATATGCCATATGTGAGTCATCCTAACCCTGTTTGTCCCGGCCACAGGGGTATCAGTGCTACGTGTCAAAAGTGAGTCAGTTTTTATACAAGATCCAGCCATTTTTTTGAGTGTATGCTGCGCAAATCATAGCCCCCGTATATTTATTATATTGCGTTAATGTAAAGCGGCCATCTTTATTTTATATTATTATTATACTCTTATAGGACCCGTTAAAAAAATTTATTTAAATTCGCTCCTCATTGCTTATATTATCCAATAAAATTTTACTGTTCATGTAAAGTTATATTCACGTTGTTAAATTTATTATTGATAATATTAATAATTTATATTCACGTTATTACAATTATTAATGGTAACAATAATAATTTATATATACCTTATTAATTTATTAATGTTAATATTAATAATTTATATATATCTTATTTAATTTATTTATTTTAATATTAATAATTTATATATACCTTATTTAATTAATTATTGGTAATATTAATACTTTATATTTACCTTATTTAATTAATTTATATTAATAATTTATATTCAGGTTATTTATTAAAGAAAATCTGATAAATGATGCGTCATTTTGTACAGCATGCACTGGAGGGGAGGCGTTACGAAGCAATCGTTGTTCCCTTTTGTTGTTCCCCCCGCGGGGGGTTGGGGAGGGGGGAAAGAGAGGGTAAGGGGGAGCCCTCACAATCCCAACCCCCCCCCCACTACGGGTAGAGGGGGAGAGGGGGGGTGAGGGGCGGCGGTGTTGCCGGCTGGCGTGCCGTACGCAGCTCAGCTGCCAGGCGCATAATGCGCGCACTGCGCTATATTGTGCGCTACATATTATTGCTGTTACCGCATGAATAATATATTAATATAACATGAATATAACATGAATATAAGATGAATATAATATAAATACTACATGAATACTACATGAAAACTACATGAATACCACATGAATATAAGATGTAGACTACATGAACATAACATGAATACCACATGAATATAACATATGTAGACCACAGTCCACAAGAACATAACATGAATACCACATGAATACCACATGAATACTACATGAATACCGTATTGACAACAAATAACTACCACTTAAAATCCTCATTCATGATTATTTCAAGTTTCCCTCCATTAGTAAAACTTGCCGCGTAGTTGGCAGTTCCTATGTAAACTTTACAACTTCTAGAACAAACTTGCTCTAGGAACTGCATAGTAAATTGTTTATTTCTTTTTTTAATTCATTTTAGCTTGGGTTGAAGCTCAAGTTTTGTGTTTGAATTATGGGATATACCGAATAATATTGAGAGGTATGACTGTTGAATAGGTATTACATGAGGGATAATCAATAGGTATTACTTAAAATTAGCTTATAAATATTTGCGTATATGGTAATATAGTTATATCAGTTAAAAGAAACCAGAAAAAGGATATATATACACAGGTATACAGCTCAAAAATGAGCTTATAAATGTTAACGTATATACGTGTTAGTTATACCAGTTAAAAGAGACCAGAAAGAGGAGGTATACACACAGGTATACAGGAAGGCATGTCCCTGTAGAAGGTATGCCTCTGTGTACTCATTAGAGGAATTAAGAGTCAGGGTTCTCTATAAGTCACAACTCATAAGAGACTGGCAGCGGCTCTAGAGGCTCCCCAGCTAAATCTTAATGTGTTTATGAGGTGTTTGTTGTTTGTTGTTTGTGTTTGTTGTTTGTGCTTGTTGCTTTTGTGAGTTGTTTGTAATTGTTGTTTGTGTTTGTTGTTTGTGTGTGTTGTTCGTGTTTATTGTTTGTGTTTGTTGTTTGTGTTTTTTGTTTGTGTTTGTTGTTTGTGTTTGTTGTTTGTGTTTCTTGTTTGTGTTTGTTGTTTGCGTTTATTGTTTGTGTTTGTTGTTTGTGTGTGTTGTTTGTGTTTGTTGTTTGTGTTTGTTGTTTGCCTTTGTTGCTTGTGTTTGTTGTTCGTGTTTATTGTTTGTGTTTGTTGTTTGTATGTGTTGTTTGTGTTTGTTGTTTGTGTTTTTTGTTTGTGTTTGTTGTTTGCCTTTGTTGCTTGTGTTTTTTGTTTGTGTTTGTTGTTTGTGTTTGTTGTTTGTGTGTGTTGTTTGTGTTTGTTGTTTGCGTTTATTGTTTGCGTTTATTGTTTGTGTTTGTTGTTTGTGTTTGTTGTTTGTGTTTGTTGTTTGTGTTTATTTTTTGTGTTTGTTGTTTGTGTTTGTTGTTTGTGTTTGTTGTATGCTGCTTATGTGTGTTGTTTGTGCTTGTTGTTTTTGTGTGTTGTTTGTAATTGTTATTTGTGTTTGTTGCTTTTGTGTGTTGTTTGTGTTTTTGCTTGTATTTTTCGTTTGTGTTTTTTGTGTGTGTTTATGCTTGTTTTATTTGATGTTTGTGTTTTTTGTTTGCAATTGTTGCTTTTGTTTGTTGTTTGTTTTCTGTGCATCGTTGCAGTTTGTGAGGTAGCGGGCTGGACATCCCAAACACTGCGCGAGTCATAAGAAAATATGGCGCAGGTTATTTAATATGATCAATTCTGTGTGCTTGATTCTGTCCATATATATATGCGCTTAAACAAATATCCCATTGTTTACCATAAAATTTAAAGATTAACGCATAGTTTATGCGTATAGATCGACACTGGTTATCGC